TGGGGATAATATACCACTTCTAAGGCAGTTTATGCCGCACCACCACTACGTGGAACCAGCTGCCCACTGAAGTATTTCCGAACCAATTCGACTTAGAGTCCTTCAAGAAAAGAGCGTACCAAATCTTGAAAGGCCGGCAACGCACCTGCGAGCCCTCTGTGAGTGTCCATGGGCGGCGGTATCACTTAACATCAGATGAGCCTCCTGCCCGTTTGCCTCCTATTACATTAAAAAAAACACGATATATCAGTTGAAAACTGTGCGTTTAATGCACTTTTACCAACACTATGTAGAAGAACCATCTGCCCGTCGAAGAAATTGTCCATTCAATATAACCTGTCTTTCAGGATTCATGCATTGAGCTGGACTGGTGGCTTGAACGTCCGACTTACATCCCTGAGGTTAGAATCCCGGTTGTGCACTAATAGACTTTATTATCATATTTATATCGTGAAGAAATCGGCATGCCTAAAGCCCAAAAGTCGACAGCGTGTGTCAGTGACAGAAGGCTGATCATCTACTTGCCTAGTTGTTATGTGTTTGTACGTGAATCGGAATACGGATACCATGTTGCAACAATAATAATTTTTACGTGAATCTAAAATATGTAATATGTATATGTGGTACAAAACTGAGGTAACTTAAATTAATCGACACATAATATGCAGCCTAGTTTACAATTCTACAATGACTCAGATCTGCACTTGCAACCACAATGCAATTAAATGGCGCTAGAATTTTCCTTCCTAGTATTGTTTTCCATTAAGTTATAGCTAATCGCATAGAATTTACGACATTTTTGTTGATTTTGTAAGTATTCTTATTTATTTCATTTATAAGGGAGGTCGGTGGCCTTTTACCTATAAGTCGTGGCTGCTAACCGGATATAATATGTCTAGCGCCGGGAATATTTTTTTATTTCTTCTGCAAAGCTATTTCATTAATATTGGCATACTAAAATCATATTTTTAGTTATTATATTATGTTTTAATCAGACAACAATTTCATTCTTTTATTATTTTATCACTACATCATCACATTGTTTTAACTATGTTTGGACATATAACCATGCAATTTGGTGTAATTCATCCATCGATCTAAATAATGTATTGTTATAAATCAAGTAGATACTTAAACTTCATGTACTAAATAAGAGGGTTTTTAAATAATGTAAGTGCAAACATGCGAGACCCGTTTGAGCATTGCTAACTTTGTCCTGCACAGTTGCAACCGTCAGTGACGAATAATCTTATATTCATGGACAATGTGTATAATAATTATTAACATTTTACATACTTGCTAAAAGGACCAGAATTACATAATAACGTGTTTAGAATATAAATAACTGATTACGCAATAAGTGAGTTATATGTATGCAGAATTGAAGGGTATTTTAAGTTTAAAAAGCTTAACAAAGGGAGTATGTTTATTAAAAGTACAGTTTAACTGGGATATACACCCTGTATACTGCCAAAAAGTCGTGATCAAACGCAACTTGGAGATAGATGGGGTCATCAGCTGCAAAAAATTGTTTTACGGGAGGTCTCTAAGCTCAACCCCTGCAGAGTTATAATTTAGTTTGCGTTTTATAAGAAATTTGACTTTTTAAATAATTCTTATAAAAATTCGAAAAATCTACACCTGTATCTCTTTCATAATATCCACTAGATTGGCGCTGAGACCTTGCGTTAGACATGATATTTATGGTAGTTTGGGTGTATTGAAGATAATATTATGTTATACTATATAAAAATTTCTCAAATCATAACTTTTTGTTTATTTCGGACCCCACTGTCGAAAAAACAAAACAACGAAATAAATATTATATTGATTGATTACTGCACAAATAAACTGTGTTGTTATTAAATATTTGTGTTTATAAGAAAACATAAAAAAAAAGATTACTTTATTTTATAGAATCGTAGTTAAAACTATTTTTCAGTTCCAAACACCGGTTTTTTTGTTGGTAGCACAGGAAAAAAAATTAATAATGGCTACATTATTATATCATATGTTCATTATAAAAATAATGATAATACAAACAAAACTTTTAAACTACAGATTACTAAAACCTTTTTTCCCAAACATCTCTAAACCAGTGAATTTATGGTTACTATACACCTTTTTAAATATTCCTCAATGACTGATAAAGCAATCATTATTCAAATCAGCCGACCATTAACAATGTCGACTTGATTCATTATACTACATTCAAGGCCAAAACTTATTCATTCATATCATTAATCCGGATAAGATTCAGTGTGAATATATCGTGTTAATTGTTTATAATTAGAGAAACTTAATGCTGAGCTGAGCTGTTTTCCTACGTGAGAAGGCTACAAACCTTTTTAAGACAAAACCGCGAAGATACTATTTAAAAAATACAATCAAGTGAAATCTCATAGTCAGACCTCCATTTTGTCTGACGCATAAATACATCTGAATCCTTCAGTTTTAGGGCCTGAAACCATTATTGTTTTGCCAGGATTTCAAATTAAGGTATTTGCTAAGCCACGAAGAATGCCACTAAAGAGTTAGCTTTAAAATAACTCCGCAACAAAATAATGGTCAAATACCACGCTTGCATTTATGCTGTCCACGGACTCCGATTAATTCGGACGAAGCCGCGGAGCACAGCAAGTTCTTCTAAAAAGTATTTCGATTGAGAATTTTTACCCTTTTGAAATGAACTGTTCAATTTGAAATTTAAAATTGTATCATTAATTTAACGTATTTCTATTCGCTGCTACCCATGGGCTCAGATATAAATCTGTTACTGTTTTCTAAGCCACGCCGGTTCCTCACGATGTATTTCTTCAACTTTCGAGCGAATGTTAAATGTGCATGTAGAAAGAAAATTAGTGCACATCCGGGGCTCGAACGATCTCAGACATGAAAGTATTAGAGTAGTATTTTTATTCATCATAATATAGTAATTTAATATACTATATAATTATTCGAGAATATACTATTCTATATGATCGATAAAGTGTGCTGAGCTAAGAATTTTCACACAAATATTCACTCATGCTGTAGTGTGGGTAGAAATTAACTTAAAAAAATACTTCGATTTCAAATCATTTATTTAAACTGGATACTAAACATTTTATATACACAATTAATCATTTTATGTATCACATTTACAGCTTTACTTAATTACTGACAGGTGCTCAAATACCAAGGCCACTCAATGAGAGAATAACACACAGCTACTCGTATATGAAATGCTACATTTTAAGTAATAAATTCTGCAGCTCTCAAAGCGCTTTGTTTTTGGACATTAAAGAGACACAGTATGAAAAGTTTTGATAAAGTTATATAAAAATGTTTTTACTACAAAATCTTTATCATATAATAATTTTAAATATCTCGGTTTATATTTATGTTAGAAAGATCAGATTATCCGCCAGTGCTTTTTACTCCAATTATTTCATTTCACAAGAGCAAAATCTAAATATGATTGTTTAATCACTAAGCACAGTGACGGTGTCATTGACCTTTCATGTTTTTAATTCCGTGGTAAATACTTATTATACATTATACAGCCCTTAAAACTAGATTAAATTCACTTCGTATGTATATTTTAATTCTCATACATTTTCACCTAAACTGGTCTTTCGTTCCAAATTTAAAATATTGCCAATTAGAGCATTGCCATGAAAAATTTCACAGTTTTTTTTTGAAATCATCTAATTTTACTACTAATTCAATCTCGAAGAAAAAATGGTAATGTACGAAATTATTAACTATGACAATATTTACTTATACCTATCCTATAAATATTTTCTTGTAGACCTATCAATGACCTATAAATATATGTAAACGTTTAATAGGAAACGCTTGACTTGAATACATAACAGACTAGAAATACGTATAATCTATGTATCCCTTGAATGCGAAAATATGTTCGCAATAGCGACTATAGTATAATAATACTTGTTTATACATGTCATTGGGTACTTTAGAATCTATTCGAATATTTACATACCATAACGCTTCGAGTGCTTTACAAATATAAGTATTAAATGTGCAATATTGTAAATAACGTTGGGGCAATAGATGTTGATATGTGGTACTAGTTTATACCAAAATAAGTATAATACGTGACAGTATGTACCATGTCCACGATTAGTAATATTGTTTCATTATTACTCTTAATTCACGTTTATAGTGGCATCTATTTTTATTAATTCAAATATAGAATCCGAACGCTGGCCAATGACTTAAAAAAAATTTGTTTCCTTTTTCTATAAACTTTAATAAAGCTTTGTCAAAATTCGTGGGAGTTTTCTCATGAGACACTATTTGGCTCGGCAAACAATTGCGCCTAATAGAATTATACGACAAAATTTAATTCTACTTACATTGATATCTATATTTCAAAAGGCTTTAAAATATACTTAAAGTCGAGACTTAGCGGTAAGTATGACTTCCATAAGTCAACAACTTGATGAATTTGACGAATTAAACTCAGCGCTAAGTCTACACTCTGATTCTGAGGATGAGACTAGAGCATTGTTAGTTTATCGGTTAATCCCAAGACTCTAGAGTCTATAACTTCAAAAACAGAGCAATTACACATAAAGAAATGTGATTGCCCTGTGCCCAATAGTAGCAAACGGTTATAGGAATCGATTTTAACTATAACAAGTACTTATCTATTTTTTGGCAAGAAAATATTCTTATTCCTATAAATTAACCTTGTGATTTCCATGAAATTAACAATTACCTTCAAATAATACACTTAATATTTTCATTACTTATGAATCGTATTTGTCTTAATCTATGGCTCGTAGCAATAAGAACTATATCATGTTATAGAAATCGGCAGTTAGTAATATGACGGATCTATTTTAATAACAACATATCACAAGTCACAGCAGTGTGGTGATTACAAAGAAATACAAAAATAAATCTTAGTAACGTTATTCGGTTGTTTTATGGGTCCTAACTACGGTCAAAATAAGATCGTAAAAATAATTTTACCCTTTGAATTTGACCTATAATGCAGTTCCTTCCGCTTCCTTCTTTTTGCTCTTTTCCTTATCGTCGTCAGAGGTCTTCAAAGGTCCATGTTTCCAGCCTTCGGGATAACCATGCCTTCTTATATCATCCCACCACTGCTGTTCACCATCCGCCCAGATGACATAGATAACATTCGTTATCACCAGAACAGCAAAGCAAATCCAAAATGCGACTCGCCATTGTTTTAGTGTGGACTGGAATTCAAAAAAGGTAAACCACTTAAAACAAATACAATTTTTATAATGTCAAAATTATGTGAACAAAAAAAAGCTTAATTAAATTAGTATAATGACTATTCGTCCACCATTACTGCCTTGTCATTAACATTCCCGCCCGCGTCGGGCTTAATCCATAGAACATTACAAAGCATTGTGGACCATAGATTATCCTCATATTTAACGCCCATACAGGCCGAGCTACGCTCGCCAAAACGGCCCGAGCTGAGCTGTGAAGGCCCTTAAGGCCAACAGCGAATTCCTTTCAAAAAAAAATATCCTCATAAAAACAACGACTACCAAAGGAGTTTTGAAATTTATTCATTAAGATATATATTCAATTAATGAAACAATTAAAACATTGTGGATTATAGTAATTGTTTGGTTCGGAATGGTTATTGTTATTTCAATTAATTGAAATTAAATTTTGTTGTGAAATCGTGTCAGAGGCAGAATTGCGATGTTTACAAATCAAAACAAACAATATTATTTTGATTAAATATTATTTTTGACATAACTTTCGCGTATTTTACACAATCAAAACTTTTTATTATTGCAAATTTTTTATTATTCCGTAAAAAATATGAACTTGATATTTTTGTTTCATTGAATCAAGTCATAAATTTAGGATACCGAATCTGTGCAATATTTCACAGGCAGATTGTAAATTTTAACCAGCCAAAGAGAAAACAAATGTTCACTGGAAATGAATGAATATTGATGGCAACATTTATCACGATTATATTATATCAATACAAATCGTTATCACTACATACATTTTTCAGAACTCGAGTCCACGTTTAATGTTCTGTCTCGTTTAAATATACAGGAATAGGGGTAAGATTCAAAATTCAGACGTACTGATTAGTGAGACTCCCGTATCTCAAATACAATAGAGTCTGGCTAATGAAAGAAGATAATTGAATTATTTGAAAACTTTCGGATGGCAACACAGAATGTCATTGAATTTCTTAGGTTAGTATGATTTATTGTCTTGATACTTCATGCAATTACTCATTTTTGTTTCTATTATATATTTTTTTCCGAATAGTTAACAGGTATAATAGCCTAAACTTTGTTTTATTTGAGAGAATATTTCGTTTCTTTCGCAGGATTTGATTATTCCAGATAAAGTTGTGTTTTATAATAAATATAGTTTTAGTTTTCCATGCAATGCTAGTCATTTTAAGTATCAATAGTAAAAGACTAAATACGTATAGTATTTAATTTCATAGAAATACAGTTACTATCAATGTAAAAAATAATAAAATGAAATCAAATAAGTCTGATCCACAAAATATATGAAACTTTTAGGGATACCATACTATTTTTTTTTATTTGCCGCGCTTTTTCGTTATCTCCTTTCATTAGCCAGACTCTACCTTTTTGAAAAACGGAATTCATACTTAGCAAGTTCTCTGTGTCTTATCCAGATGTTATGTTAACGATTGAGATTTTTCTTTATTCGTTTAATAAATTGTTAACTCTTAAGCTACTTTTTAGTGTACAAAGACAGGTTGAATTAATTAAAGCTAAATATATTCTTATATAAATATCTGTGAAGTTACAAACTCTAGTTGTTGACTCCAGATTTCAGTATCTGTTTCGTGGTCAACATGTTTTTCTAATAGGGAAGTAGGTGATCAGCCTTCTGTGCCCTGACACTTTGACTTTTTAGATCTAAAATTGATTAGTGTTAAATGCGCGCAAAGAATAGGCGTAATTCGAACCCAGGCCATTAGGCTCACACTATTCTTATCTTATATCTATCTTTAACTAAAGGTAGATAAGGTCTCGTCAAATATCAATAAAAATGACTACTAAAACATAATTATCTTATCTCGAACTTTGGATAGAATCCGTGAAACTGACAGGTCAGATAACATTGTCTCGAAATTCCTTTAAAATTTCGTAGAAACTTTTCATGTTTGACAAGTTTGATGTTGTAAAGGAAATGCTGGTTTAACGATAGATAATGTTAAGGTAGAAATAGTATAATATTAATTTTCAGTTAAAATTATTGTGCCTGAGACAATTTAAGATAGTAAAAAAGAACAATGATATTGCTTCTCTTTATGAAATAATAAATCAGTCGATACTATATCCTACTTTTAGTTATATACTTATTTAGAGATTTGGAAAAAATATAATTTTAAATAAATAACATAGCTTTTGGCCAATAAAAATATTTATAATAAAAAAAGGAGAATATATTATGTTTATGTTCTGTTCTATGTCAGAACAGATCCCTACAGAAAATAAAATATTGTCAATCATAATCTAGCCGATTATGTACAAGATCACAAGTACATACTTGGGATCTTGGTATTGAATCCCTTTAAAAATTAATACAAGATATGAACTTACATCAGGTGTTAGAAGACCAATCAGATATGGTGTAATTATTCCAGATAGAGTCGATGTTCCGTTTACCATGGCTGTGAGCGACCCGGCGTAGTTTGGCGCTAAGTCTAATGCATTCACCTAAAAGCAAAATAATAAATAAATAAATTACTAAAATTAAATTTGTAATTAAACAACTATCGTAGTCATGGACCTCAATCAAACTAATGCCTACTTTGAACCTAACTTTTCTATTTATACAAACTTCCAAAGTTTCATAAAAACCAGCCCTTAGATCTCTTAATCGGCACTATCGTAAAATGTTTTTGAACACTATAAGCTACCTTTTTTTTTATAACCGAGGTGGAAATGCATTTGCGCATCCCCTGAACAGGGGTATGTGGGACTCGACCCACGCGAAAATCTCTGCTATTCAGAGACTGGGTGAGCAATACCCACTAAAACCACCTCGAGTAGTTCCGACAAAACCGCGTTACAGAGGCTCCGGGGTCGCTGTCAACTATAAGCTACCTGCCAAATTTCATCTTACGGTAAGTGCTTTTAGATTTATTATCGTCCCCCTTTATATAAACAATATATTAAGAGGATGGGATGTTGGCATTTTTTTTTAATTGGATTGTTTCATATGCGCAAAATAATTTTGAAACAAATGACTATGCCTGATGCCGAAACTTAATGACGACCTTGCAAGAAACAGTAATTCAACTATAAAACCAATCTAGCTATAATTAACTGGTCGTGGTTGCGATTTTACACATTTATGTTAAAAAATATATGAAATAACTTTGTGGTAAAGAATTGAAAAGTGTAATCACTATTTTGTATGTATTTGTTTGCTTATTTGAATTGTTATTGTTATTGTAGTATAATTTTAATAGCAAAAAAATGTTTCTTTATACTACGTTTTTAATAATATAAACGCTATAACGAAGACGTAGTCGTAAAAAACGACGGGTTGCACTCCGGGAGTGCCGGCAGAAGTGAGAACTTGAATATTAACGTAGTGCATTTTTGATATTTTGGAATGGTTAGGGAATAATTTTGCAGGAATTGCTTTAATTATCAGTATAAACGTACTATCCTTTATGAGGTAGAATACAATATATATTTATTGCGCTATCGTACGTTTCGATCAGGTCACGTGTCCTGACGCGAGTTTAAAATTTTTACCCATTCCAAAAAAAGTGTACAACGCCGCTAATGAAGTTTTCAATTCAAAAATAGTAGTTCTACACTACTATTTTTGTACGTCAAATTAAAACATATTATTATTACATATATATAATATAACTATATGTAATTGTAAAAAAAACTATTATATAAAATGAATAACGTTGAATCGATCAATAGTTTTAGGACAATACGATATCATTTAAGTTTATTGCCAGTTTTTCTCTTCCGTTCTACGCCCTTGACTTGAGAACTGGCAGTATATGTAAAATTAGAAGCATTTAATATTTATTTCTTTTTTGACGTTCATAAGTGTGTGTACATTGTCTTACCTATATGAATAAATGATTTTTGACTTTTGACTTTCATCATTATGTTTAGTCCTGTTTTGATACCACATTATATGGCGGATGAATGATTTAATAATAATAATTATTTGTTAATTTGAAAACATTTTCAACTTAACAAATAATTATTATTATTAAATCATTCATCCGCCATATAATGTGGTATCAAAACAGGACTAAACATAATGATGAAAGTCAAAAGTCAAAAATCATTTTTAAATATTTTAAATTATTATTAAATATTTTTTTTTTATAGAACGGGACAAACTGGCAGAAGGCTCATCTGATGTTAAGTGCTACCGCTGCCCATGGACACTGTCAATGCCAAAGGGCTCGCGATTGCCTTGCCGGCCTTTTAAGTATTGGTTTATCTTTAACATTTTACCACTAAAAGTAATATTTTTATTACCTTCATTCCACTATAGTACCCTCCCATGAGAGCCATGGAAGCTATAAAATATGCAACAGCTGCAAATCTGTCGCAGCCGGAATATGAGGCCAGGATGATGCAGACAGCTGGTCCAGTAGCAGCTTAAATTTTTAATAATAATTTAAAAAAAATTATCGATGAAATTAATTCATATTGAGAATAATGAGTCCTCACGAGGAAAGCTCTAGCGTTGAGGAAACTAGTTACTTTCTAGAAATACATTCAAAATCACCACACTATTAAAAATAACCTACTAAAATCATAATTTTAAAATAAAAACTAGATGACCTGGCAAACGTTGTTTTGCCATGTATATTATTTCTAGTTAACATTTTTTTTTAGTTCAATAAAAATAACTATCTACTTTAATAAGAAATAGGGGTTGTTTGGAGAGGGTTGAAAATTAGGGGTAGTTTGTATTTTTGTATGCTGCACAAAAAATAAAAACAAAAAAATTGTCTAAAAAATCAAAACTAAATGTTTGGGGTGTACACCCCTTATCACTTAGGGGTTTGAAAGATAGATAGTAGCCGATTCTCAGATTTACTGAATAAGCATGAATTTTTTTAATAAGAATCGGTCGAACCGTTTCGGAGGAGTATGGGAACGAACATTGTGACACGAGAATTTTATATATATAAAGATTATTATATATTACTATTTAAAACATAATTTCCTCAGACTTTAATACCATTTCCAAGATCGAATATTCGTATAAAGGATGGTTATGAATCATTAACACACTAATAATTACTATTAATAATTACTTACCAATAGTCGTATAAATAATTCTTCCAGTCTTAATAGAATGCCAGTTCCGTTTGACACAGATGTCACAAATGATGCCGAAAGCGAAGGATGAGATCCACATAGCAAGGTAAGGGATAGCAGTAAGAGTACCAGTAGCAGCAATGTTGAACTTGAGTACGTCTGTCATGTACTTTGGTAAATCAGTCACCATCGTGTAGTAGCCCCAATCGTGACCGACCTGAAATTCGAATATAACTCTGAATACTTTATTAACTTAGATCATAAGACAACATTTTTTTTATCACGAATGAAGGTCACGGGTTAACTGTCAACTTGCTTGTAGATATTTAAGTAAAATTGATTAGGTAAGATAGCATTTCTCTCTGGAACACTGACATTTGCAGCACTTCTTTGTATTGTTTCCTAGTTGGTATCTACAAAAGAAACTGTGTGTCGCGTTTTTTTTTCGCCCTGGGCCTGAGAATTCGTGATAATTTGTTTTTTCGAATAAGTACGTGATCAGTCTTTTATGCCTGTCACAGCGTTAACTTTTTGAGTCATGCATGCGATTTTCTCACATTTTTCCGTCACCGTACGAGCGAGTGTTAAACGGAGACATAGACAGAAAGTTCGTATAGTCTCCAAGTTAAAATAACAAAATAGAATACTGCTCTTAAAATTATGTGCGATAGCTCATTCAACCGAATGACGCCTAGAAAAATGTGCTAAAACGTGTATTAGCACATAAAAAATTGCAAAGTTATAGACCATTAAAGATGAAAAAAATGGAATTTAGTTTTTGCCAATATTTAATAAACTATTAATATTTAAGAAATTTCAAATAAAGATTCTGAAAGGAGGAAATTTCCAATAAAAATCTCAGCTCAACTCTATCTCCATTATTTATAACTTTAATTTAACGCTGAAAATAGGTCTGTCTACATTTTAGGATTCGCGCGTGGCGTCAAAAGCGACTACGGCACATTAATTAATTTATTTAAGGTATTGAATATTTTTTTAAATTTGAAAAAATTATGGTGTGTTCTGAACACTATAATTAATTTATTCCCGTTGGAAATTTTACTTAAAGTTAATTTTTCAACAAGTTAAATAATTGTTAACTAACGAAATTTTCTCGAACGACCGTCTTAATTGTAAGTGAAAAAAAATGTTTTAATAATGGTCGTAAAAATATTTCGCTTCGTAGAGCCTTTCTTACATACATACTTAACAAGATCGTGCCATAAAAGTTAAAGAAATATTTATACTTTGTTTATAACAATTTTTTACTTAAACAAAAACTTAAAAATCCAAGTAATGTTGTTAAAAAATTTTTTTTTTCTACATCATCATATTATCGTTTTTATATTAATACAAGATATTTATTGATTTGCAAAAAAAAAAATTCCCGCCATTTGTTGATAATTTTTTTAAACAAATTGATTAAATCAATTGTTTTAAAAAAAAATTTCTAACTTTATTACATTACAAATATTATGATTGTTTAAAAAAAAAAATTCCTTAATAACATATTTTAATTGTTTATAATCGTTTTTTATATTTCTATTGTTTAAATAATTAGTTAAGAAATTTTTTTTTCTAAAAATCATAATTCACAATCCTCTATAAAGTAACAAAAATTTTTTTTTTTAATCAACAATTCTATTGTTTATTAACTTACCAATTTGTTATAAACAAATGTTCAACTTTTTATATTTTTTTCTAAAACTTCTAAAATTAACAAAAACGAACATATATAACAAAGTCTATAAAAAAAAAAAAATTTTTTTAATAAAAGTAATATTCATGATAATCAAAAAATTTAAAAAAATGTTTTTCTATATTTTGTTATATATGGTTGTTTTTGTTAATTTTAGAAGTTTTAGAAAAAAATATAAAAAAGTTGAACATTTGTTTATAACAAATTGGTAAGTTAATAAACAATAGAATTGTTGATTAAAAAAAAAATTTTTTGTTACTTTATAGAGGATTGTGAATTATGATTTTTAGAAAAAAAAAAATTTCTTAACTAATTATTTAAACAATAGAAATATAAAAAAACGATTATAAACAATTAAAATATGTTATTAAGGAATTTTTTTTAAACAATCATAATATTTGTAATGTAATAAAGTTGTGAAATTTTTTTTTAAAACAATTGATTTAATCAATTTGTTTAAAAAAATTATCAACAAATGGCGGAATTTTTTTTTGCAAATCAATAAATATCTTGTATTAATATAAAAACGATAATATGATGATGTAGAAAAAAAAAATTTTTTAACAACATTACTTGGATTTTTAAGTTTTTGTTTAAGTAAAAAATTGTTATAAACAAAGTATAAATATTTCTTTAACTTTTATGGCACGATCTTGTTAAGTATGTATGTAAGAAAGGCTCTACGAAGCGAAATATTTTTACGACCATTATTAAAACATTTTTTTCACTTACAATTAAGACGGTCGTTCGAGAAAATTTCGTTAGTTAACAATTATTTAACTTGTTGAAAAATTAACTTTAAGTAAAATTTCCAACGGGAATAAATTAATTATAGTGTTCAGAACACACCATAATTTTTTCAAATTTAAAAAAATATTCAATACCTTAAATAAATTAATTAATGTGCCGTAGTCCTTTTGACGCCACCCGAATCCTAAAAATGTCACGCACAGACCTATTTTCAGCGTTAAATTAAAGTTATAAATAATGGAGATAGAGTTCCGGGAGCTGAGAGTTTTTTATTGGAAATTTCCTCCTCTTTTCAGAATCTTTTATTTGAAATTTCTTAAATATTAATAGTTTATTAAATATTGGCAAAAAACTAAATTCCATTTTTTTCATCTTTAATGGTCTATAACTTTTGCAATTTTTTATGTGCTAATACACGCTTTTAGCACATTTTTCTAGGCGTCATTCCGGTTCGAATGAGCTATCGCACATAATTTTAAGAGCAGTATCTCTATTTTGTTCCATTTTCAACTTGTCGACTAGACTAGTAGGTGCACAGCCGGGAATCGAACCTTCGAACTGAGAGATGAGAGTCACAGATGTATCATGCACAAATTCAAGACTTTTATTGCTTTCAATTTTGTATTTTAACTTAAGTTATAGAATGGACTTTTTGATATTTGGCATTGCAATTTTTAACAGGCGATCGATAAATTATCCCAAAATTCCGATAGATTTTTCAACAACAAATCTTAATGTTTCTCAGTGTTAAACTGCAAAAAATGTATATGTAAAAACATATTTTTATACTGTCCATAAGATTTTCCTGACCGCCTGGGTGGCTATTTATATATTATATTTAAACACTCGGCTTGTACGGATACATCTAAAATCTGGATATACTAATACCAGTCACTTTCTAGAAACTTACAAACAATGCAATCATAAAGATTCAAAAAATTAAATAGTAGTGTTAAAATTGTATGTAGAAATATTCAATACTAGGTAGGTCATTACTTAATTCTAGGCATTCATATTTTATACTCACTGCGGCAAACAATAGGGCCCAAGCTGGCGCTGATCGCAATATAGCTTTCCACGGTATTGGATCTCTAGTACTTTTGTTATCTGAACCCGTTATACTTTCGTTCAAGTACTTAAGCTCTTCGTCCGATATGAATGGATGGGTTTCTGGTGTGCTAAAGCATAGAATGCTCTGAAATTCAATCACTTTTTTCATATAATTTTAACAATAACAAAAACTAAAACAAACAGTTTCCAGTTTTAATGTAACTTCACGTGTAAAGTTGCCGCATTTTATTTATAAAAAGACGCGGCGTTTTTATAAGTAATTATCACAGACTACTTATTATTAGTTGTAATGACTTGAGGGTACCTACATATTAAAAATAAAAATCTAAAGACTAACCCTAATATCTGAAAAATTGTGATGTGATATAATTAATACTTGAAGATTGCAACTTCAGTTTTCTCATATCGTAGTACTCAAGTTAAGAACTTTATTATAACGTATTACACAGACCATTGTAGATTAAAAAAGATTAAGCAACAATAGTTTAAGAGATAACTAAAAACATGGCAATGTTAACTGAAAACTTTCATTATTAGTTTTTATAAAAATTTATGATAAATAAGACCCAATTCTTTGTCAAATATTATATGTATTTCATCCGTTCTATGATTGTGTACGACATTAATAAAAATATTTGATTAAATTCTTACCCAAAACAAAAACCACAATATCCCAAAGCATCCGAAGAAATAAAATACGTTGGCCCAGTGTCCATCTCCAGCCATCAAAAAGCCAGACATGAAGGAACCAAAAATGTTACCAATTTGGGCACCACCAAAGACCAATGCCCCTTGAAGTGATCTTTCATGAGCTGGAACCCATCGCGCTAGAACAACCATCAGAGCTGGCATTGTTGGACCCTGAAAGTTACATTTATTATTATGATAATTTACTTTCTGATTTTACAACTTATATAGGTACAGACAACGCTTAAACATTGCTCTACGGAAAACTAAAAAACCGTTTCGTGAACATATTTGAAACTAAGCATGTGATTTTAATTCCGTTGTGTTATTATTCCGTTAATATATACCAAATGTACCGAAAATCAACGCTGTTGACAAAGCCTCGGGACGTTGCAACAGTAGCTACCCTAACTCACAAATTTTCGACAGTTCCTTCGAGTATTTGTGTCAAGTACTGAACGAATACGTACTCGAAATCACAACGATAGTTGCGCAATACAGTGTTTTTCATAATATATAGTTTGATTTTTTAAAGATAACGGAAATACAGGCAAAAATATTACGATTTTACAAATAATATCGTGTTACTCGTATGTTGTATATCAAATCCAATATTTTACGTCCGGGAACCACTCTTAGCGCTAACTCTTGGCGTGTTTTCTTCGTTGCATTTATGAGACATAACTATTATGTATATACTGACGTCCTAATAAGTTATATTGACGTAGTTCGAATTCAACCGAGAATAAAGAGAACTATATAACCATTTAAAAAATTTAGGTAAGACTAAGTAGAAACACTTAGCTGAATAAATTATCTTTATTTTTTAAGCGTATAAGACACATGTATGTATGTACATATGTGTTTTTTCAACCTTTTACACTTTTGAAAAGCGTCACCCAATATTATTTAGATGAATGCGCATAAAAATTTTCAAATCGTATGAGTTTGTAAATAAATAATAACTTCGTCTACTAGCATACTTTTACAGGATTTAGCAACAATCTCAAAATCTAACTGTAATTTAAATTGTGCAATAGAATAGATGTTGAAGAAAGGAAGGTGCTGCTCTTCCTCCGGCCTAAAAGGAAGATCATTGACCTGGTCTCAGCGTTGGTTTCAAGGTATGACATCGCCGTGATTGTAGGCGTAGATTGTAAGTGTCTCTAACGATATTCTAACGGATATTCAGAGAATGTTAAATACAGTGGCGTGACAATTGGGTGGCAGGGTTGGCAAAATGCCACGGGCCCCTGACCCAAGAGGGCCCCTGCCCAAGAGATATTATGTTCTATTGATGAATGTGAAGCCATCTACAGACCATTTGCTCTCGCCTAAGAGAGGAGGCCTATGGCCATTAGTGGGACATATACAACGTGTAATTGAGTACGCTGAAAATCTCGAAGTTTATTAAAATTAAACTGAGTAGGGACGATTTTTCTAAATTGCCACGACAGAAGATTTGCCACGGGCCCCAGATGGTATAGTTACGCCACTGGTTAAATAGTCTATATCAGACGATAGACATAACCCGAAACCAAGGAGCCCAACAATCATATTTCAGGTATATTATAAGAAAAGAAGGAAAGCTTTTAATTAGTGATCAAATAAATTATACATACTTCACCCATTCCTTGCAAGACACGCAGAATAAACAGCCAAGTTGCACCTCCAGCAGTAACAACGATTGGTGTCAATAGCGTAAATAAGGCTGTACTTAATAATCCTATACCCAGTGTCCATTTCCCGCCATATTTCTCAGCCAAATAACCTCCAGGTATTTGGGTGATAGCGTATCCATAGTAGAAGCCACTTAGGAGTAAACCTTGGGTTGACTCGGACCAGTCGAATATTGCGTGCTGAAATAAATTAAAAATTACTTAAAAACTTACGTCCTTAACGTTTTAATATAAAGAGTTAAGTTATATCAAGCGTAAAAACTGGCGCAGCCGCAGAGCAGTAGGAAAATATTAAAAGGCTTAAATATATCTTTCCTCCAACTTTGAATTTGTTCCGTTTGGAGTAGAGACTCTTAGGCCGTGAAGTTCAGTAGCGGTGACCCCAGAGCCAGCTCTGCTTTCCTCACTCAACGAATAAGTATCGCAATACGAGGAAATGCTGCCAGCGTTAAAGGTACACTGCCACAGGGACCAATTTTTTTTTTTAATTTTCAATTTATAAATTATAATTATTACTATGTAGGTTAATAATTTTAGATCACCTTGATGCAAATTCAGAATTTAAAATACTGTAAATTTCTTGTCTTTATTTACTATACTGTACTTATTTATATGTTTCCATCAAATTAAGATGTAACGTATAAAATTATCACGATTTCAGGCACTATTACTACTACTCCAAACCGTCTACATGCGAAGGCCGAGGCAGATAATTGTTCTGAATTTGCACGGGTCTGATCTAAAATTTTTAATCTAAACACACTGTGTCCTTTTGAAAATTATTAAGCGTAATATCATTGTCTTACTGGTTTAAAAGGAGCAGTTCCATTCACCAACAGCTCACTATCATCTGGACAGGCATCGGGGTCGTAATGTGAATCATCGCCAGACTTACTATTATTAACCATTTGTGTGATAGCTAAATTGAGGCAAACACGCATTGTATAGGCGTTGCATAAAGCCCACAGACCCATAAGCCCCAGAACATACCGCTGAGGTATCAGGAACACTGTAAAAAGATTTTAAATCAAATAACATAGCGCAGACCAACTTTTAGTCAACGCCGTGATGGATACTCAATTATTCAAAATTTAATGAATAATGAAAAATATCGTTGCTAAGGTTACTTGTGTTAAAATATTTGTTGTTTATTGACTTACTGAGATGATATCTCGTTGTTGTTGTGTTGAGTATAAAGGTAATAAAATGTAGTTTGACAATATAATTCCATCGCGTAATCATTATGTTAGATCCGGTTGAAGATTAATTCAAGTGTTTATTTGATTTTGATGTACACAAACGCATAGAATCAACACAAATGTAGGTATCATAAAATAACTTCCATTCCAAATTAAATATTCACGAAATATTATGAAACCTACACTTATGAACGTCAATAATAATAAAAATGATAATACATAACAGTTTTAAAAAGTACCTTACAAAAAATCACTTACATCTGGATATGCAGCGTCTCCATCTTGGTAACATTTCAACATATACGATAAAAATTAACGCTGGAAGAGTGACTCTGGTCCTGTGAATGAAGAAGTGTTAATGAGATAGCGATATTAGCTGGTATTTCCTTTGTATTGTTTAAATATGGCATTTACATTAGCTACATATAAAAACATTTGCTACAGCTGTCTGTTCCGTTGAAACTTTTTGCAAAGCGATTTTCGCGAGCGAATAAATTTTGTTCTACCATCTTAAAGGGGATGTTTTAGCAGAAGATACTCGCAAATCTTTAAAAGCCGAAAGTATGTTGCTACAGGCTTTGAAAGTCAACATCGAATTGCATTGGTTTTTTAAATTATTTTTGCTATTTTCGCAAGACTAATCAAAGCTTTGCAATGCCTGAAACACGTCGTCGATTTTTGGGTCTAAAACATAAGGTTTTTCTTTTGACATTTATTTCACGTTAACATAAACCAAACACATAACATAAGCCATTGATGTCTTGGTTATATTTTAATCTAGTAAACCCTAGAGCAATCAGTGTAGTAAACAATACATATTATACATAATTGTGATAGGAAGTGAGGAATGTATGGAGTAATTAAAGTACTATTAGTGACTATTTTGTTCAGAGTACCATAAGTTATAAATAAAGAGATTTATCGCTATTTCGTGATCATTTTTTTTTTCTAATAGGCAAGTAGGTGATCAACCTAATGTTCTTACTTTAGAAACCGTCCATACTTAGTACTAATGTATATAAGTCACTGAAAAAAACTTAGTATATTCTGAAATAAATTTTATATCAACCAAACCGAAGCAGAATTCGTCTAGTGGTTATTGTAAATTGAATATTTACTGTTCTTACCAGTTTTTGTATGAACCACTAATACCCACCAATATATTTCAATATTCAATCACATACATACACAAGTGAAGCTACGTGTAACTATAACAAATTAAATCTTAAGTACGTTGTTCTCATGTAAGTGCCTAATGTTAATCAGACATAATCCTTAATTATTATCGCACTAGATTGTAAACCCCGATTAGAATCTACTGCAACAAACGGTAACAACAAATTACGTAAATTTTACAACTGTTAGAATACATTTAGCTATGAGTAACAGATCGTCATGATTGTAGAATAAAGTCGGATTTGAAGAAAGTCTAACATCCCCTTTTTATCATATTTGGATACTACATTGACTAAAAGGTACTCGTATAACGGCTAAATTTAAAAAAATCCATGTGTTTTAAATTTCAAATTAATCAGTCCGTAAAGAGATTTGGACGAATTTGATAGAAACTTGTGATTTTTCCAGAAAACTGTGTAATTTAATGTTATAATTTTTATTTTGTTTCAAACCAAACCCTTTCGTTTGCTTGTATGCCAATTTTCATAATAACAGAATATGAATTAAAATAGTTATGACAAAAACTAACATGATTATATTATTTTGAAATGGCTGCCCTGTAAAGTTTACCATTTGTCAGATCCGTCACAATTTTACGACTATGACGAGATATAACAAAATATTTTTAATATAACATACTAGTACCTAGTCCCTGCGTAAATTATTCATGCGGGTGGGTAGCATAAAGGCGACGCTGTGTAGGCATAGACGACTTGCTTATTAGAAAAACATGAGCACGAAACACATTCAGAAATCTGAGGTCTAGACCTAAAAGGTTGTGGCGCAACTAGTTTTAGTTAGTTTTTAGTCTATTCCTAGTAAAAAATTCTAATTGCACCATTTTAAAAGTACTTTTATATTTTCACAGCGTAAACAAGTAATTAAAATTTGTTAAAATATTGAACAGTTAAACAATATTGTTTCTATAAAGAACAGCGTATAAAACTGTTACCAACACGAAATTCGTGGAAATCTCAGTAACTGCTAAATATATTACCATGAAAATAGAACTGATATTGTATCAAAGACTATGTGTTAACTATTTATAATATGATTAATCGAACACTTGAACTCATACTACATCGTCTCTTGTTTGCTATGCTCTTAAATGTGGAAGTTATCTATATTTAATCGTTATGTTTTGAATGTAACATCCATATCTGGTACGAATGTTTGGGCATTAATTAATATATTGTATAACATTGCAAACAATGTTAACAGATTCTGTCGCTCTCTCTCTTTCTCTCTTCATAAATCAAAACAGAAGAACAAGATAGTTCATAAAAAATTTGAAAACTCAACTTCTTAATGCAGACGAAATTCCCTAAACATAAGTTAAGTAAGCTAATAAAAAAAATATATCTCGTCGTCTAAGTTTTCGATTGTCAGAATGGTTTCAGCAGCCACAGAATATTACAAACAAACTTATATACAAATGAGTATAATAAGTTTTCAATATAATAATAATGAAAAATACATTAAAGAACCCTACCATACACTATTTTTATGTCAAAAGGTTTAGGCATAAGTAGGTAAAAGGTGCAGAATATTTTTAACAGTCTTCTACTCGCTGATATTCTCGCTTTCTTGATGTACATCATTCACTTTTGTAGGTTAATTCACGTAATCGTAAGATCAATATTTTTTATTCTTAATATAATCGTTAATAATAATTACTTGTTTCTAGAGATCACCCGCCTATGATATTTGATTATGCAAAAAACGATTTAATCAACTTCCTAAAACCAAAGACTTTCTTATTATCAAATAGTAGTATAATTTAATTATATATTATTAGAATTATATTCATAATCTTTTAGACCTCCTTTGAAAAATTCATATTTTCGCACAGTTTCAATTCTTCTGGTAAGTTGTTGAACAACTTTCCTTCAATAATATTGTTGTTTTTCCGTAATTAGTCCGCGGTGTTATAAGTTGAAGATTATTTTTTTCCTCAATGGTTTGTATTTGTTTTTTATGTAATTTTATATTAATTGTATGGAATTTGTTATAATTTTCTTTACTAGATCATGTGTAGTATATATATAGTTGTCTAATATTTAGTATTTTTGTTTTTTCATATAATATTTTAGTTGGAGTTAGGTGATTATAATGGAATAACACTTTTATAATTTTGTTTTGGGTCCTTTGTAATTTATTTAGATTAGTTTTCGCGCTGATCCCCATATTTCAATTAAATATTCAAGTTTGATTTTACTAAAGAGTTGTATATAATAGTTCGTATTTTTTTGGGATGCAGTGTGAACTGTACGTAGTGCAACTAACAATACATTAGTTTTGTTTTGACATGATCGATATGCGACTTCCAAGAGCTGGTCATCTAATATTAGTCCGATATTTTCTTAGTTGAGCGTTTTATTGCATCATTATTTATTATATTTTCTTTGGTAAAACTAACGAGTCACCTTGTAATGATTTTAAAGAAAAAAACTGCTTGTTGCAGGTTGTAAGCTGTTTAGGTCTGATCCTCAGATTTCTTTCTCTGTTTTGTAATCGTTTGTTTTTTCTAATAGGCAAGTAGGTCGACATTTAGATCTATGGCATGAAGGTTTCTTCACCAGACGAGTGAGTGTTATATGCGCACATAGACAGAAAGTCCTCAGGCCGATCAATTCTCCGACCTCAGGGATGAGAGTCTCGCTCAAGCGACTAGGCCAACACTGTCCAGTGCCCGATTTTAAAGAAATGGTCATTCGATTTTTAAAGGTACGTACTGTATGAAGGAATTCTGGCGACAGTAATTTGTGACAACGCGTGTGTGTTCCCCAAGGATCACATTTGGCACCATAACTCTTCTTCATATTTGTTAATGACTCAATAAATTTCAAAAACATAAACAACGCTTGCAAATGCAAATTTTTGCATTAAGACATTTTGCATACTATTTAAACACAAGGCCAATTGTGTTGTTCTTTTAAATATTGTTATATTATGTCTAAATTTTTCATACAATTACAAAATTCTATCTAAATTCCGCTACGGTATGCCAAATTGATTAAAATTGGTTTCGCGGTTTGCAGTTATATAAGCAAACTATTAGTAATATAATTTAATTGGTACAAGTTCACATAATAAGTATTTAAAAAATAAATCAGTGGCGCTACAACTTCTTTAGGTCTTGGCCTAAGATTTCTGAATCTGTTTCATGATCATTTTTAAATCTAATAGGCAAGTAGGTGATCACCCTCCAGTGCCTGACACACGCCGTCGACTTTTTGGGTCTAAGACATGTCGGTTTCCTCACAATGTTTTCCTTCACCGTTCGAGCAAATGTTAAGAGAAAGGAAGTCCTTTGGTGCACAGCCGGGGATCGAACCTACGACCTCAGGTATGAGAGTCGCACGCTGAAGCCACTAGGCCAACACTGCTCATAATAGTAAGTATTAAGAAACATTATTATTGTCAAACTTCAAACGTTTTTGGTATGATTAAAGAGAAAACATGTTTACTAACCTAATCTGTGGAGCTATATAAAATGATAATATAATTTTGACCGAAACTGCAAGAAACATCAATTTGAGAGTGTGATGTTTAATAGTAGTTTTTTTTTCGGTATCTCTGGTCTAAGAAGAAAAGATACTAAACGCCCGGGGTAGAACATAATAAAATTTGGTCAAACGGAAAGAATGTAATGCGGGTATATGAAAGCACCACAGAGGACAAATAACAATCAAACGCGCTATCGATTCACATTCTCAGGGGCTTATTTTCTTCTATTTACAAATTACATCACCTCATCATATTAAAAGTAGTACAACTCATTTCTAAGCGCTTGGGTCATTTAAATAATATTTAATATTGTTAGTCCTCGATTTTCGTCGTTTCAAGTTACGTTGAACAATGTTTTGAATTTCTCATTACATATTTTGATGACATATTTAAGTTAAAATATTAAAGTATTTGAGTTTTACATGTAAACATACGAAAAAATATGTCTCGACTTACGTAGTTTCGATTTACGTCGCGTATTTCGAGAACCTAACATGCCGTACGTACGAGTACTGCCTGTATTTATTATATATAGGAAAAATAAGAATTACTTTAAAATTATTCATATTAAATAACACATTCGCACGTTTACTTCACTTCACTTTA